AAGGAAAAGTTAAGATGCATTGTGTGAACAATTGAGATAACTCACTACCTTCAGACCAGCCATAAGATTTATTCTGTACAGGTACAAATCCCATATGATGACAGTGATCAATACGTACAAAAAATATGAACTAATAAAAAATTAAGTTTAACAATAATAAATATCCCTTAAGAATACTTTGGCCAGGCATGGTGGTGCACCCCTGTAATCCCAACACTCAAGAGGCTGAGGCAGGAGGATCACCATGAGTTTGGAGCCATCCTGGGCTACACAGTGAGGCCAGGACAGCCTGAACTACATAATGAAACCTTGTCTTTAAAAAAAGAAAGAAAGAAAGAAGAGTACTTTGTTTCTCTTAGTATATAATTGTCTCAAGTACAGAAAGTGATTTTAAGTATCTCTTTATTTTCTTTTCACAGTACTTTTACGAAATCTAAAATGCTATCAAACTATAGGACATACTATTATTTTTGTACCATCAAGAAAAAAAGGTTATCAAACTATGACCTATCATTAATTGTAAATGTGCCCTACCATTAAAGATGATAAATGTGAATTTTACAATCAAGGAAATGAATAGCTGTGACAGATTTTGATCAGCATTTTGGAGTTATATTACACACAAGCAATAACTGGGACAACTGTGCAATTTACTTTCTTCCAAACTGCATATTTTAGCTCAAATTATATCATATTTACCATGTGAAGAAAGTAGAAATTTAAAGATTTTTTTTTATTTAAATCAAGATTTGAGTAGGAGGGCCAGTGAGATAACTCAGCAGACTAAGCATCTGCTTTGGCAAGCACAGGGTTGAAGGTTCAATCCCAGGTCCCATGTGCTACACTGGCCCCATCTCTGGGGCGCACTGAGCTGGCAACCAAGCCCTGGCATAGTGGTGCACACCTGTAATCCCAGCACTGGAGAGGGTGAAACTAGGAGGATCACTACAAGTCCGGGTTGTGTAGTGTGACCCTGTACCAAATACATTAAAAAAAAAAAAAAAAGATTTGAATGGGGCCTGGTGGCATACACTACAATCCCAGCATTCAGGAGGCTGAGGCAGGAGGATCCATGTGAGTTTGAGCCCAGCCTGGGGTTCATAAGGAGTTCAAGGCCACCCTGAACTATACAGTGAGACTCTGTCTTAAAAAAATAAAATAAATTAATCGAGATTTGATTTTGGTCTGACAGCGTAACTCAGCAGTCCAGCACTTGTCTAGTATGTACAAAGTCCTAGAAAAATAATGCTAGCATGAAAATTATTTACTGACTATCAAATAATTCTAACATAGTGAGAAAAGCTAAAAATGGAAACAGATAAAGATACACTTAAAATGAGACCTTTTCACTTATTTCTCCAATATATATAATAAAGCATAAAAGAAAGCAAATCAAACTTTTGTATAATTGATTTAGAAGTTTAAGCCATCTTTCCCCTTTGCTTCTGAAAATATTTTGAGAAAAAATTTCTCTTGCCAGATTATTTTTACTTTGAGAACCTATTAGAGACAGACTATAGAGGGGAAATATCAGAACTGGAAAATATTAGCTAGGCTTCTGCCAAGGGGTAAAAAAATGAAACAGTGTTTTAGATGTTCTCTTTGGCTTGATTCAGATGCTCTGGGATTCATTTTGAAACCTTCTTTCACTCTTAGGACAATGAAATAACAAATAGCATTTGTACAGGGCTGGCCATGTGTATTCTCATTGAATTTGCCTTCTTTTTTATTTTTTGGTTTTTGAGACAGGGTCTTGCTATGTAGTTCAGGCCGGCCTTGAACCCACTATGGAGCTCTGGGCTTTCCTTTGTAGCAATCCTCCTGCCTTGGCCTCCTGAGTTCTGAGTTTACAGGATGCGCCGGCACATCCAGAAAGCTTGTCTTCTTATGGCCGCTGCAGTGACCAGTCCAAGCATGACAGATGGCCAGGGTTACTGGACACACAACAGAATCCTCAGAATGAGAACCCCACAAACTGCTAATCATGTCACCTTTGTATCTGTTTTCCCTCGTTCAGTGGCTGAAAGTGCTCTTTTGTGGTAGAAAAAACAAGTCAGAGGACGAACCGGAGAATCTCCTGGATTGTGTCTCCTGTCCAAGACTATAGAACAGAGCCACCTCATGCCCAGCCCACCTGACGCAAAGTCTCTCACTACAGAGGCTCCACTGACTATCACACAGATCTTACTGAAATAACTCCCTTTCAGAAAATTACATACCAAAATGCATGAACGCTCCACTTACACCCTTTCTACAGTAGCAACTCCTTGATAAATTACTCAAAATAAACCTGTGTGGGCTAAGTAGATAGCTCAGTGGTCTAAGCTCCTGCTTAGGCAAGCCCAAGGACCCCCGGCAACACACACAGTACCAGACTGAACCTCAGGTGCGCCACGCCGGCCACCAAAACCAGATGTGGTGCCACACGCTTGTAATCCCAGCACTGGAGAGGCTGAGACAGGAGGGTCACTATGAATCTGAGCTGTACAGTGAGGCCCTATACCAAATAAATAAATAAATAAATAAATTTTTAAAAAATAAAAAATAAACCTGTGTGTACTTACCACCTGTACACATTTTTATAAATAAAACGAAACTCCATGCTGATCTTGATACCATCTAGACTATATCAACTAAGAGTAAAGGCTACATAAGTATCACTTGGAAAACAGTGAGACAAACCAAATAAAATAAATACCATCCTGCCTCACCTCGCTTTTATGTGATTAAAGGAAAAAAGATTCAAAAAGCTACCATGCTTAGTTTTATCTGAAAAATATACAGCAAGAAATTGCTCTTCTTCCCTGATGAAATGTGACATCATCTTTATCTAGTTATTCCCTCCAAGTAGAACTGCCTTCATTAATTTTATTTAAAAGTGCTTTGAAGAAAAGGTACATACAAAAGTCTATGAAACTAATAAGATAAACAAATGTTGAGACTATATAAATATCCTATAACACTATATATTTTTTTAAATCTCAAAATATGAAAAAAGATTAGTATTTGTACTGTACCTTCCTGGAATCTTGTCTTGGTGAGATATAACTATAATGCCCCAAAGGAGAATCACATGGTACAGTGTGTGGTCTCTTTTCATGGACCTTTGCATCAGGCCCATCTCCACAATATTCCTTAGCTGAAGAAGTCACCGACACATTAAGTTTCGTTAGTTCTCCACTCAGTTGATCCACAAGAAGTTGCTGTTCTATTATTTTTTCATTCTTTGTAGAAGAGATAAGAATTTAAAAAATAGAGAACTTCATATCTATAAGGATTATGATTAGAAATGAATTTTACATTGACTAAAGCAAAACTACTTTAACAATCCTCTCCATGTCATTTATCCCATGATTAGCCTTCCAGTGTTCACAAGCAACTAGTACTGTTCTGAGAGGGAAAAACCTTTTCTGCAAGCAGCAACAAATAGCAAAAAAAAAAAAAAAAAGTAGGTAGACACTGTGATTGGGTGTTTTGCCACTGTGCTTGGAGCAATATATTTAGCTGTCTTTATAACAGTATGCACTTTCTGTTGTATGACAAGGCAGAGGAAGGTAAAAGGCAGAGGAAGCCAGGCACCAGAGATTGTAGCAAAGATGGTGTAGAGAGGTGACAGGTGTGGTGAGGTGAAACCCCTTACACACCAGCAAGGAAGCGGGGAGCACAGAGACAAAAGTCAGCCAGCTGATGGGCCTATAAGGGTCAGAGCTGGGAAAAGGCAAAACAAGTTGTGTATTACACATGAGCGTATACGTGTGTGTGCATCTGTGTTTGTACTTTCTCATGTACCAGCAAAAGAAAAGTTTTGAAATGTATCTAATCCAGAAAGCTCTGTCTTCAATCTTTGTTTTATAAACACAAATTATGTAAACAAAACTTGTCATTCATTTTAATATTTTACATGCTTTACAGAATTAAATGGAGGCCAACCCAAAATTCAAAGACCCAATGCAAAAATAGGCATTTGAGATGAATACACACTTCTGAGATGAAAAAATGCAAAAGGTAAATAAATACAGGCAAACATGTTCAACATCTCTAATCCTTCAAGAGATGAATATTAAAACAACACTGAGATTCCATCCACCCCAGAAAGAATGACTATCATAAAGAAATCAACTAATAATAAATTCTAGAGAGGCAACAGGGAAAAGGGAACCCTTCTCCACTACTGGTGGGAGTGTAGGCTGACAACCTCTATGGAAGTCGGTAGGGAGATTCCGCACAAAACTAGGAACAGAAGTCCCATTTGATCCAGCTATTCCCCTCCTGAGTATTTTTCCAGAAGAACTGAAAACACCATACCACAGTGATACATGTGCACCCACGTGATTATAGCAGCACAATTTGTCATAGCTAAGTTTGGAAATAACCCAAATGCTCATCAGCTGAGGAACGGATAAAAAAGATGTGGTATTTTTATACAATGGAGTATCACTCAGCTATAAAGAAAGACAAACAAGGCTTTCATAGGTAAATAGATGCAACTAGAAGCTATACTCAGAAGTGAAATAAATCAGACCCATATGTGCAAACATTTTATTGTTTCCCTAGTGTAAGAACCTGCAAGATTAAATAAAATTTGAAAGGTACAATAGATATAATAAAAGGGAAAGAAACTGAACATAAGGAATAAATAATTGGGATGAGGGAAAGGCAAAAAAGATAGGGGAAAAAAGAAGAAAAGTCATGTGTATATATACACAGGATAGCTAAGATGATTGTACCACTAATTTTTATTGGTTGGATTTTTGGGCTTTTTTTTTTTTTTATGGTACCAGGGATCGAACTCAGCACCTTGCGCTTGCCAGGCAAGCACTTATGCCACTGATCTATTGGTTGCTTGAAAGTAGCAGTTAATGTTAAAATTTTTACTTTGACCAATTTTACATGCTTATATCTGTAATCTGAGCAATTGCACTGAAGACAACAATCTGTAACACAACAACCACTGTTGAGCACCTATCATCTTCTGTTTTTTTTTAAATTGTGCATTCTTTCTTTTCTTTTGTCTTTTTCTTTTTTTTACAGTAGCGGAGATTGAACTCAGGACCCTGTGTTTGCCAGGCAAGTGCTTATTCTATTGAGCTAGCTTCCTGGCCCCTGTGCATCATTTCTAATGTCTTATACTTTTATAGTGTTTTTTTAAATAAATGAAAAATAAAGAGAGGCCAAAAATCCCTAGGCTTTCATGGTTAATAATGAACAATAAGGGGCTGGGGAGATAGTTTGGTGGTCTAAGCGCCTGCCTGGCAAGCACAAGGACCCAGGTCAATCTCCAGTACTGCATGCCTTGCCAGCCACCAAAACCAGGTGTGGCAGCACACACCAGTACTGGGAGGCTGACACAGGAGGATCACTATGAATCTGAGCTGCATAGTGAGATCCTGTACCAAATAAGTGATTTTTAAAAATTTAAAAAGAGCAATAAAATAATGCAATCTTATTACATATCATGCATTTGAGTAATAAAATATATAAGGTAGTGACATTAAGTGGAACAGTGTTAAATCCAGTGATTACATTGCCTGAGAAAAAGATAGAAGTACGAATTGGCTTGAGATTTTATCCTGGTTTAGGCACTAGAATGACCACTAAACTACAGAGTTAAAAGCAGTTTGTTCGTTAATGGAAGGAAAGGCAAGAAAAATAAAAAAAAATCTCATTGATCCAAAGAAAATAAGTGAGAGGGTAAGGCACAATGATCAAGAAGAATAAATAAAACTAACAAAGGTTGATTTTAACCAAAATGTAAAAGTAGTCATGTCACATTCATAAATGAATTAAATCATATAATTAAAAGATAAAAACTATCAGAAAAGATTGTACAAAAAAGAAAAAGTTCAATTGGAATTGTTTTTCCAAACTCCAAAGCCTTATATAAACAATACCACTTGTATAATAATACAGAAGACTTTGTACTCTGGTAGATTGGGGAAGTGGTTATCATAATGTAAAATTGTTGAAAACTGCTGGATGATAAAATACAATATAAATGTGTTACAAAGTAAGCAAGTTCTAGGACTAAAATAAATTCCACTTGATGAGAATTTTTTAAAGAGGATTATAAAAGTAACTATAGGTTGCTTATAATAAATGCAGATTAGCACTGCCGAGTAGGAATTTCTGCCGAATTCCGGGAACCCCTAGAACCAGTCCTA